GTTGACACCAATTCGTGTCTTTGATACATGTACTTTGGATAATGATGTCATCACATTCTTGTTGCCTGTATTCTTGATGATTACCTTTCTGACAGGAGTGAGCTGAAATCTTAGAGTAGTTTTGATTTGCATTTCTTTAATTGCTAGAGATGTTGAACACTTTTTCATAGATTTGTTGGTCAGTTGTTTTTCTTCTGTGAAGTGTCTGTTCATTTCCTTAGCCTGTTTATTTATTGAGTTATTTGGTTTTTTTTTTTTATTTCTTTATCCTAGCGATCTGTGAAGTGTCTGTTCATTTCCTTAGCCCATTTATTTATTGGGTTATTTGTTATTTTGGTGTTAATTTTTTTGATTTCTTTATCCTAGTAATTAATGCTTTATTGGAGGTGCATATGGTAAACATTTTCTCCCAATCTGTAGGGTCTCTCCTCACTTTATTATTTGTTTCCTTTGCTGAGAAGAAGCTTTTTAATTTGAATCCATCCTATTTATTAATTCTTGATTTTACTTCTTGCACTTTAGGAGTCTTGTTAAGGAAGTCAGATCCTAGGCTGATGTGGTGAAGATTTGGGCCTATTTTTTCTTCTGTTAGGCACAGGGTCTCTGTTCTAGTGCTTAAGTCTTTGATCCTCTTTGAGTTGATTTTTATACAGGGTGAGAGATAAAGGTGTAATTTCATTTGCTACATATGGATTTCCAGTTCTGCCAGCACCATTTGTTGAATATGCTATCTTTTTTTCTACTGAATGTTTTTGGCGCCCTTGTCTAGTATGAGATAACCGTATTTATGTGGGTGTATCTCTGTGTCCTCTATTCTGTACCAGTGGTCTACAAGTCTATTTTGGTGCCAATTCCATGCAGTTTTTGTTACTATTGCTCTATAGTACAGTTTAAGGTCTGGTATTGTGATGCCTCCTGCTTCACTTTTCTTCTAAGGATTACTTTAGCTATTCTGGATCTCTTATTTATCCAGATAAATTTCATGATTGCTTTTTCTACTTCTATGAAGAATATCATTGGGATTTAAATAGGAATTACATTAAATCTGTATTATGCTTTTGGTAGTTTGGCCATTTTTGACAATATTAATTCTGCCTATCCAGGAACATGGGAGATCTTTCCAACTTCTGAGGTTTTCTTCAATTTCTTTCTTTAGTGTTCTGTAGTTTTCATTGTAGAAGTCTTTCACCTCTTTTGTTAGATTGATTCCCAGGGTTTTTTTTTTTTTTTTTTTTTTTTGAGGCTATTGTGAATGGAGTAGTTTTCCTAATTTCTCTTTCAGTGGATTCATTGCTGATGATAGGAATGCGTTTGATTTATGGGTGTTGATTTTACATCCTGCTACTTTGTTGAATTCATTTATTAGTTCTAGGAGTTTTCTGGTGGAATTTTTTGGATCTTCTAGATACAGAATCATATCATTAGCAAATAGTGATAGTTTGAGTTCTACTTTACCTATCTCTATCCCTTTAATTTCTTTCTTTTGTCTAATTACTCTGGCTAGAGTTCAAGGATGATGTTGAATATAAGTGTGAAAGAGAACATCCTTGTCTTATTCCAGTTTTTAGAGGGAATACTTTCAGTTTTTCTCCATTTAGAATGATGCTGGCCTTGGGTTTAGCATATATAGCTTTTTCAATGTTGAGGTATGTTCCTACTATCCCTAAGTTTTCTAGTGTTTTGAACATGAAGGTATGCTGTATTTTGTCAAATGCTTTTTCTACATCTGTTGAGATGATCATATGATTCTTGTTTTTAAATCTATTAATATGATGAATTATGTTTATTGATTTCTGTACGTTTAACCAATCCTGTATCCCTGGGATGAACCCCACTTGATCATAGTGCACTATCTTTTTAATATGTTTTGTATGCGATTTGCCAGAATTTTATTGAGAATTTTTGCATCTATGATCATCAGGGATATTGGTCTGAAGTTTTCTTTCCTTTATGTGTCTTTGTCTGATTTCAGTATCAGGGTGATATTAGCCTCATAGAATGAGTTTGGAAGGGTTCCTTCCTTTTCTGTTTCATGGAATACTTTGAGGAATATTAGTGTAAATTCTTCTTGTAGAACTCGGCTGAGAATTCATCTGGTCCTGGACTTTTCTTGGTTGGCATTAGGCTTTTGGTGGCATTTTCTACTTAATAACTTGAAATTGATCTGTTTAAATCATGTGTGATTTCCTCATTCAGTTTGGGTAAGTCATGTGTCTCTAGAAATTTGTCGATATGTTCGATATTTTCTATTTTATTAGAGTATAAATTTTCAAAATATTTTCTAATTATCTTCTGTATTTCAGACGTATCTGTTGTGATATTTCCTTCTTCATCTTGTATTTTAGCAATTTGAGGTTTTTGTTTTTTTTTTCTTTTTGATAGCATGGCAGGGGTTTATCTATTTTATTTATTTTTTCAAAGAACCAACTTTTTGTTTTGTCAATTTTTTCAATTGTTTCTTTTGTTTCAATTTCATTGATTTCAGCTCTGATTTTAATTATTTCCTGTCTTCTACTGCTTTTGGTGTTGATTTATTCTTTTTCTAGGGCTTTGAGATGTAGTGTTAGGTCATTTATTTGTTGACTTTTTATTCTTTTAATGAATGCATTCAATGTAGTAAACTTTCCTTTTAGTACTGCCTTCAGAGTGTCCCAGGGATTCTGATATGTTGTATCAGTGTTCTCATTTACCTCTAAGAATTTTTTTATTTCATCCTTGATTTCTTCTACTATACATTCATCATTCAATCGTGTATTACTTAGTCTCCATTTGTTACAGTAGCTTCTATTTTTTATTTTATCATTGATTTCTAATTTCATTCTGTTGTGGTCTGATAGAATGCAAGATATTATCTCTGGGTTTTTTTTCTGTGTGTATTTACTTATGCTTTGTGGCATAAGATATGGTCTATTTAGAAAAGGAGCCATGTGCCACTGAGAAGAAAGTATATTTGCTCGTTGATGGATGAAATATTGTATATATGTCTGTTAAGTCTAAATTACTGATTGTATTATTTAGTTCTATAGTTTCCTTATTTAGTTTTTGTTTGGAAGATCTGTCCAGTAGTGAGAGAGGTGTGTTAAAGTCATCCAGTATTATTATATTGTGTTCTGTTTGACTCTTGAAATTGAAAAGGGTTTGTTTGATATACATAGATGCTCCGTTGTTTGGGGGCATACATATTTATAATTGTTATGTTCTGCTTATATATACTTCCCTTAAGAAGTATGGAATGTCCTTCTTTGTCTCTTCTGATTAACTTTGGTTTGAAGTCTACTTTATCTGAGAATGGAAACCCCTGCTTGTTTACATAATCCATATAAGTGATAAGTTTTTTCCCATCCTTTCGCCTTCAGCCTTTGGATGTCTGTGCCCAGGAGGTGAGTCTCTTGAAGATAGCATGTTGTTGGTTCTTGCTTTTTAATCCAATCTGCCAGTCTGTGAGTTTTGATTGGTGAGTTGAGGCTGTTAACATTCAAGGTTATTATTGAGATATGATTTGTATTCCCTGTCATTTTATTTCTGGGTTTTTTTTTTCCTCACAAAATTTATTTATTTATTTATTTATTTATTTTTATTGGTTGTTCAAAACATTACAGAGCTCTTGACATATCATAATTCATACATTAGATTCAAGTGGGTTATGAACTCCCATTTTTACCCCAAATACAGATTGCAGAATCACATCAGTTACACATCCACATTTTTACATAATGACATATTAGTGACTGTTGTATTCTGCTACCTTTCCTATCCTCAACTATCCCCCCTCCCCTCCCCTCCCATCTTCTCTCTCTACCCCATCTACTGTAATTCATTTCTCTCCTTGTTTATTTTCCCATTCCCCTCATAACCTCTTATATGTAATTTTGTATAACAATGAGGGTCTCCTTCCATTTCCATGCAATTTCCCTTTTCTCTCCCTTTCCCTCCCACCTCATGTCTCTGTTTAAGGTTAATCTTATCCTCCTGCTCTTCCTCCCTGCTGTGTTCTTAGTTGCTCTCATTATATCAAAGAAGACATTTGGCATTTGTTTTTTAGGGATTGGCTAGCTTCACTTAGCATAATCTGCTCTAGTGCCATCCATTTCCCTGTTTGATTTGTCTTAATTTCTCATTTGGTTGAATGTTCCTTAGATCCTCCCTTTGCTGGTTTTATTTATTTTTTTTCCACTTCATCCTCATGGAATATTTTGCTGAGAATTCTCTGTAGTTTAGACTTTCTAGTTGTGAATTCTTTTAATTAAATTATGTTTTAATGTCAAATCTCTATAAGCTAGGGTGACCAGTCATTCTAGTTTGCTTTGAATTGGGGGCTTTGATGGGAAGTGTGAATTCCCGTGCTGAAACCAGACAAATCAAGATGTGTTGTCATCCTACATTGGTTTGTTGTGAATATTAAAGGAGATAATATATGAGAAAGCACATAGCATTACTTCTTGGCACATAGTAACTGCTCCTTAAATTTTAGTAGAATTTTTGTAAAATATTTAGATTTAAATTTTAATTGAGCAGATTCACACTGATATTTGAGAAGTTATAAAGGCGAATTTGGCCAACTGCTTTATGTCTTCATAAGTTGACATCTTGGGTCTCTGAACAGCTTTTACTCTTAGGCCTTAGGCATTGGCTTTTTTTCTATCTGAGTTTCCTAGTCTGTAAAATGAGAATAGTAATATTTATCTCATAGGGTTATCTTAAGGATTCAGCAAGGTGTGATTAGCAAATTAAAAGTGGCAGTATACCAGGCTCATACCATATTCTTAGTACATGCTAACTATTAGAATAATAAAGTTAAACATTTCATATAGATAACATTTGGAATTAGTAGTATAATAGTGGGAAAAGTTAGGATGATAGTTGTTGATTGAGCTTTTCGCTTCTTTAGCTTTTTTTCAGTCTTTTCTTAAAAGCTTCCTTATTCTAGAATGCCCTGGGAAGAGCAGTGTATATATACACCTTCACAGCTGAAAATGTGTTGTTTTCAAATTTTATTTCAGATAGTGAGGAATACCTGATTAATCTCATAGACTCTCCAGGACACGTGGATTTCTCCTCAGAAGTATCAACGGCTGTTCGTATTTGTGATGGATGCATCATAGTGGTAGATGCTGTGGAAGGGGTCTGTCCACAGGTAATGGTGTGATACAAAAGTATTTAACGGGTTGAAGAAGGTGAGGAAGAGGAGAAACTGTTGATTACTATGTATCACATTAGGCATTTCACTAACAATGAGAAAGCTGGCTTTATGTTTCACTTTGGTAATGTTCCAGTTTCTGATGGAGTTAAATCATCAGAGCTGAAAGGAACTTAGAAATGGTGGCAATACTTTGGATGGAAGTGTCTGTGATATCCTCTTAGGGTAGTACTTAGAAAAATGATAGAAATGTTGGATTTGGGAATAATCTAGATGTTTTACTCCAATGAAAGAGGTTTTCTGAATCATGAGAGGTTGTTGCTAGCACAATACTAAACAAGTTTTCCCTAAGTAGGAGAGAAATTCTATTGTTTTCTCAGCCTACTTTTCGGCCTATATCCACATCCACACACTGTACCCATACACATTCCTTTCCTGTTTCCCACTCTTATTCTTCCATGTCCTTAATCTAGTGTTTCTATTTATCTGTTCCCACCAAAGTTACCCCTAAGGCCAGAGTGAACATGCAGCTCTGGTGAGGATAGGGCTCAGAGTGGCTCTCTAAGTTAATTTCTTTCAGTAATTTTTGAAGGCTTATATTTGCTCTCTAAGAAAATAAAAAGATGTCACCTTCATATTCTACTCCTTAATATGCACATTTACTTTCATGTTTCTAAAAAAGAATAATAAAAGATTTAATTTCCTCAAATGTAGGAATTTTTTTAATTTAATATTTATTTTTTAGTTGTAATTGGACACAATTCCTTTATTTCACTTATTTATTTTTATATGGTGCTGAGGATCAAACCCAGGGTTCTGCACATGCCAGGCGAGCACTCTACCGCTGAGCCACAACCCCAGTCCAAATGTAGGAAATTTTAAAAATTATTTATTTTTAAGTGGTGCTGAGGATTGAACCCAGTGCCTCACATGTGCTAGGTATGTGCTATACCACTGAGCTGTAACCCCAGCCCCTAAATGTAGGAAATTTGATATTAGAAGAAGATGTATTATGATTATCTTTTGGCCTCTCCTCTGATTTCCCCTATAGGTACAGGTATCCCAACTCAAGAGGGCTGTCTGTGTAGTGTCTTAGGTATCCTCACAGGATACCTAAGCCATTGATGAGGTCAACTTGAGTGTATTTGCTGAAATGGACATAGCTGGCTTTAGAACAGCAGAATGGTGATTTGCCTCTAAGAGGTGAGATCATGATGAAGGAGGTGAACATGTAGCTCTTGGCCAAATGTTTTATTTTTTTACCTACATGCTAGTATCATTGGTGTTTGATAATTATTCATTTAACCATGAAAAAGAGAGAGTATTTGTGAAAACACATATTTCTACTAAACCTTTTTGCTGTCTTTATCCAATTTTATTTTTTTTCCCTTAAATAAACTATAAGGCCCTCTTATCTGCAGTTATTTGTTGCTATGCTAAATATATATTTTATGAAAACCTGAATATCTTTGTCTGACTGGCATAGTCTGAGTTGTGGTAAAGGACTGTGGGAATGTGTTGGTTATTAACATTTTTCTGGTGTGCTTAAATTATTGCAAATCCTAGGTTTTACATTTTTCTGTGCTTTTATCAGACACAGGCAGTTTTGCGGCAAGCCTGGCTCGAAAACATCCGTCCAGTATTGGTGATTAATAAGATAGATCGGCTGATAGTGGAGCTAAAATTTACCCCACAGGAGGCCTATTCTCACCTCAAGAATATTTTAGAACAGGTATTGTGTTCTTCAGTATTTTAAAATTGGGGCTTGAAGAGTTATTAGGAAGAGTATGAGGAGTGGCTATAGAAAATTCACTTGTTTGAAGTTCTCTGCCTAAGGTTCTGTTAGAGTTATTACACCATGACAGAGGCAGCAGAACTAGTCTCAGGAGTCCCTTTCATCTCCTGGAAGCACCTTCAGTATAAGGCTTGAACAATGAACTTTCTTGGTTAAAATTTGTAGTTTGATTCTTAAGTGAAACAGTATTAGGAGGCTCTATCATATTGTATTACCTGTCTTTAAATAAAATTTTATCCAAGCATTTATTCATTTGTTTATTCAGCAGACAGTACATAAATGTGTCAATCAAATTAATTGCTAAATGTCCATTGTGTGTTAAGGATTGTGAATAGAAAGATGGAAGTCAGAGCCCCTGTGTTCACAGAGCTAACAGTATAGTAGGGGAGATAAATAGTTAAAGAGCTATTTGGAGAACTACGAGATACATGATTTGAGAACGTAGATGAGGGCCACTTAACCTAGTCTGAGGGAGGAGGTAGAAGAAGTCTCACAATGGAAGCCTTGAGATAGAAGAAAGGTGAGTGTTTGATAGAATATTAGAGAAGGACATTTCAAAAGAGAAGGAATAAGATGTACAAAGTTATAAAGGCAAGTAAAAGCATGGTATGGGGTTACCTTTGAGAAGATAATTGTAGTTGAAAAATTAGATCATGTTAAGCCATTATTGAACGTGGTTTCTACATTTTCTCTATCTCCCAAGAGACGGGAGAAAGGAATATAAGACTTGAGTTTTGGGGAGCCTTGTATGACATGAATAGAAGTTTTAAATTCTTCAAGACAATGAAAAGCCATTGATGAGGTCAACTTGAGTGTATTTGTTTGCTGAAGGGTGGAAATTACAAAGGTATAACAGTGCAAAACAATGATTGATAGATCTAGTTTCCCCCATTAAGATAGGTGGAAGTGTAGAAATGCTCCTGTTCTTCAGAAATACTCTCTGTAGAAATATTCCTTCTTCAGTGAGTGGCAGAAGGGCCAGCAGTATTTTCAGATGAAAGCAGTCTTATAGGTTGGAATGTGGGGGACTTGTACAAATTGTTAAGTAATAGGATTGATTTTTCTCTCTGAATTAGCTAATAGGATTACTTATTTGGAAGTGGAAATAGTTGGGTATTAGAGGTTGGGAGGAGGGCCTGAGGAGTAGTAGAAATTTCAAGCAGCTGATGTGAGAAATGGATGAGAAAAGTGACTGAGGCTACCTAACTAGGATTATGGGGTTTGGAAACTGTCAATTCCTAGTACTACCAGGCCCCAGCACTTAAATAAAGGTATGACACATTAGCCTTTACATTAAAATAATAATGGTAATCCAAAAAGACCTTTCAAAAGCCTTATAATTTAGTTTTGCTGGATTTTGATAAAATGGGTTAATACATATAAGTCATTCCTTGATCGTAAATGTCATTTCCAGTGAGTCCCAACTGTGATGATTATTTTAGCCCTAACAGAGGTTAGACAATTCCTACCAAGATCATGCTAAGCATCTGAATGACACTCTGCCATTTCACCATCTCTCCTAGATTAATGCACTCACAGGAACTCTTTTTACTTCTAAAGTCCTAGAAGAAAGAGCAGAGAGAGACACTGAATCCCAAGTGAATCCAAATTCTGAACAAGGAGAGCAAGTGTATGACTGGAGTACTGGCTTGGAAGACACGGATGATTCTCACCTTTACTTCTCTCCAGAACAGGGAAATGTGGTGTTTACCAGTGCAATAGATGGGTGGGGCTTTGGGTAAGTCTTTTTAAGTCCAATTACAGTTCGTTGTGGTTTTACATACAGTTGATCTTTTAGTTTAAATTTTTATTTTAAGATAATTGTAGCTTCATAGAGTCGTAAGAAGTAATACGGAGAGTTCTCTCTTTTTTTTTTGTACCAGGGATTGAACTCAGGGGCACTTAACGATTGAGCCATATCTCCAGCCCTTTTTTGTATTTTATTTGGAGACAAGTTCTCACTGAGTTGCTTAAGGCCTCGCTAAGTTGCTGAAGCTGGCTTTGAACTTGTGATCCTCCTGCCTCAGCCTCTTCGCTGCTGGGATTACAGACATGTGCCACTGCACCCTGCTGGAGAATTTTCTTATACCCTTTATTTAGTACATACCTCATGGTAACATCTTGCAAAACTATATGGCACAGCCACAACCAGGACACTGAATGGACACAGTCAAAATAAAGAAGATTTTCATCATTACAAGTGTTCTGTGTATTACCCTTGTATAGCCACACCTGTTTCCTGCCTATCCCTAAGCCTCCTTATGGGTATTCACCTGTTCTCTGTTTTTATAATTTGTCATCTCAAAAAATAAGTTACAGAAATGAAATCAAAACAATATATTATAGAAATGGGGGCTGGCATTGTGGCTCAGTGGTAAAGCGCTTGCCTAGCACATGTGAGGCACTGGGTTTGATCCTCAGCACCACATCAAAATAAGTAAAAATAAAGGTATTGTATCCATCTACAACTAAAACATATTTTAAAAAAATCTACTATAGAAATGGAACCAAACTATATAATCTTTTCTGGATTGACTTTTTTCCTATATAATTCTCTTTGAAATTTATCCAAGTTGTTGCATGTTTCACTTATCCAAAATGCTTGGATCCAGAAGTATTTCAGATTAAGGATTTTTTGTTGTTATTGTTTGGTTTTGGAATGTTTGCATATACATAATGAGATATCTTGGGGATAAGACCCAAATCCAAAAAAAACCTGACCTTTTACAGTCTGAAGGCAAATGTATATAATACTTTTAGTGTTTCTGTTTTCACTGTGACCTATCACATGAGATCAAGTGTGGAGTTTTCCATTCATCGTATCAGCACTTTGAAATTTTGAATTTTGGTGCATTTCATATGGAAGCTATATAGGTGGTTCTTTTTTATTGTTAGTAGTGTTTCATGGTATGGATTTACTATAGTTTTTAATCATTTATCTTTTAAACAACATCTTTTCTCCAATTTTTGGCTATTACAAATAAAGCTGCTATTAACATTCACATACAGATTTTTGTGTGAACAATAAATTTTCATTTCTCTGGGATAAGTGCTCAGGAGTGTAATTGCTGAGTTCCATGGTAGTTTTTTTTTTTTTTTTTAACATTTTTTGGTTGTAGGTGGACATAATACCTTTATTTTATTTTAATGTGGTAATGAGGGTCAAACCCAGTGCCTCACACATGCTAGGCAAGCACTTTACCTCTGAGCCACAACCCCAGCCCTATATGGAAGTTTTATGTTTAGTTTTTTTGTTTGTTTGTTTAAATATTTTTTTAGCTGTTGATAGGCCTTTATTTTATTTATTTACATGCGGTGCCAAGAATCAAACCCAGTGCCTCACACATGCCAGGCAATGGGCACTACAGCTGAGCCATAGCCCCAGCCCCTTATGTTTAGGTTTTTAAAGAAACTGCCAAACTTTTCCAGGGGACTGCAGCATTTATATTCCTGTCAACAATGCATGGGTAATGTAATTTATCCATATTTTCACCATCATTTGGTATTTTTATTCTCTTTATTTTGGCCATTCTGATGATTGTGTACTGAAAAGTTATTGTGGTTTTCATTTGCATTTTCCTAATAGCTGGTAATGTTGAAATCTTTTCCAGTGCTAATTTGTTATCTTGTATTTTCTTTTGGATGAAATGAGTCGTTATACCTTTTGCGCAGTTTCTAATTATATTAATCTGTTTTTTTTTTAACTTTTGAGTTTTGCACATTCTTTATATGTTCTAGATATTAGTCCTTTGTCTGATATATGCTTTATAAATATTTTCTCCCAATCTGAGTCAATCCTCTTAATAGTGTCTTTCACATACTGTAAAGTTTTTTAATTTGGGTGAAGTCTAGTTTGTCAGTTTTTCTTTTTATGGGTCTTGGTTTTATAGTCAAGTTTGTCTAGCTCTAAATCTTGAAGGTATTCTCTCATTTTCAAAAACAGTTTTATAGTTTTACTGTTTATATTTAAGTCTATGGTCCATTTTGAGTTAAGTTTATATGAAGTGTGATACTTGGGTTGAGATTATTTTCTTTGCCTGTGAATGGCCAATTTGTCTACCACCATTGTTGAAAAGGCTATCTCTAGTTCATTGGATTGGTTTTATACATTTGTCAGAGCCAGTTGGGCATATTTATGTGGATTTATTTATGTGTGTTTTGTTCTGTTCCATTGATTTATGTGTCTCTCTTTTTAACACTGGTACATAGTCTTAAATATAGAAATTGTGCATTAAGTCTTGAAATTGGGGAGATTATTTTGTACTTATTTTTCTTTAGCTGTTCACTGATCTTTGCCTTTCCATACAAATTTTGTAATAATATTTATAATAATTGCATATATCTTGTGAGGATTTTAATAGTTTGTGTGGTAAACTATATATTAATTTGGGAAGACTTAACATCTTTGCTCTGTTGGGCCTTCTAATCCATGAACACTATGTATCTCCATTTATTTACATTTTCCTTGATATCATTCATCAACATTGTGTGGATTTTAGCACATAAATCTTGTACTTGTTGGGTTAGAATTACATCCGATTTTTAATTTTCTGAGCAATTATCAATGGTCTTTAATTTTGATGTCCACATGTTTATTCCTAATGTGTAGAAATAGAATTGCTTTTGTATGTTCTAATATCAAAATATGCTGTGACCTTGCTGAACTCACTTATTCTGGAATTTTTTTGTATACTCCTTTGAATTTCCTATAAGACAGTCATTTCATCTGCAAATAGGGACTGTTTTACTTCATCCTTTTCTTTCTGAATATTCTTGTCTAATTGCACTGATGGTGGTAAGGGTGGCCCTCTCTTGTCTTCTTTCCAGTTGTAGAGGAAACCATGGTGTTTTTCACTATTAGGAATAATCTTAGCTGTGGGCTGTGTTTAGATGTTCTTTGTTAAATTGAGGAAGCCTTCCAACCAATGTTACTATTTTTTTTCTGAGAGTCAATATAAATGAATGTCAAATTTTGTCATGTCTTTCCTGCATTGATTTATGTAGTCATATGATTTTTTATCTTTAACTTGTTATTATAGCAGATTACATTCATTAATTGTGGAATATTGAACCCAGACTTGCTTCTTTTTATAGATTTTATTTATAATTGCTGTGTTTTGGTAGGTGTCCTGGGGTTGAACCCAGGGTCACTTAGCCACTGAGCCACATCCCCAGCCCTTTTTATTTTTTATTTTGAGAGAGGATCTTGCTAAGTTGCTTAGGGTTTCACTGAGTTGCTGAAGCTGGTCTTGTACTTGCAATACTCCTGCTTTAGCCTCCCGAACTGCTGGGATTACAGGCATGCACCACCAGGAGTAGTTTATATGATTGACTTTTAAAAAGCCTTATTTGAATGAATTCTAAATGCACAAAAATGTATATCATATAACAAAAATGTATATCATAAGATCTCCCACCTTATCCCTTAGTTCATGTCATTTTCTAGTAGTTTCTTTTGTATCCTTTGAGGTTTTTTTATGCTTATATGTGAAAATACATTTATTTCAATTTTTATACCAACAATACAGAAGTTAGTATAGAAAGAAGTTAGTTTTATTGATATTTACATATGCTAGGCATCGAGTTATTCATTTAAAATTATTTCATTGAATTTTTACAATCATCTTTTGAAATACATGTTATCTAAAGCTCAAACAATTAGTGATTCATTCAACATCCTTCAGCTACTAAGTCGCAGAGCCTATATTAAGATTATAGTCTACCTGACTCTGAAGTTTGTGTTTTTTTTTTTGTTTTTTTTTTTTTGGTACCGAGGATTGAACTCAGGGGCACTCAACCGCTGAGCCACATCCCCAGCCCTGTTTTGTATTTTATTTAGAGACAGAGTCTCACTGAGTTAATTAGCACCTCCCTTTTACTGAGGCTGGCTTTGAACTGGTCAGCTCCCTAAGCCGCTAGGATTACAGGCATATGCCACTGTGCCCAGCTTGAAGAATGTGTTTTCTTACCACAGTACTTCTCTGGGGTCTTCCCTATGGAATATAGGGACCCTTGTTACTTCTTGTTGCCCCTGGTGAATATATACATGCTAGGGCCATGTAACACTCATCTACTTTTTAGAATATGATAGATAATTGACTATATTTTTTTAACTGCAACCATTACTGCATTGTAAAATTTTAAAAAATCCAAATATAGTTAAAAGATTACATTTTGATAAAAATCTCTTTGTCTTGGGTAAATAATTATGAAATTATAATGAAATTTACTTTAGTTGTGAGCTTAATTTTTCATATAATGTGCAGAAAGCATAGAATCAGAAACAATGCACCAGGGGAAAACAAGGCCTGCTCATGAAATATCTTCCAGTAGGATCTGGAAATGGAAAAGAAGAATGAATCAGAACTGACTAGAATTCAAGGCTTTAGAGTAGCCTAACCAGTATGGCTTTTCCATGTCCTCCTTTTTTACAGGAACTTATTCTTCAATTTCCTTTTGCCTAGGCAGTATAATATATTATAATATCATAATTTCTCATGTTTGTAATGAATTATAGATGGTTTACTTCGTGCCTAAAAGATTATACCAAATTTAGGTAGAGAATGTGTAATGAAAATAGGAATTATAGACCTGCTGAAGATTTACACTTCTGAGACCTGGTTAATAGCTTGACTTATCACCTTTCTGGGCTTCAGCTTCTTCATCCAAATTAAGAATTTTGGGTTAAGATGATTTCTAAGATTCTCTTTCAGTAAAAAGTGCAGTTATTTATTTAAT